GTAATTCAATTGCTAAAAGGGCAATTGAATTGAATTGATGGTTCTCTATATTATTACAACTGTAAGCTGGGCACTGGTGGTTCACATCAGTAATTCAGCTACTCAGGAGGCTGAGATCTGAGGATCATTGGTTTGAAGCCATCTCACGCAAGAAAGTCCATGAAACTCTTATCTCCAATTAACCACAGAATAAGCCTGAAGTGGTACTGTAGCCTCAGATGGTAGAGTGCTAGCCTTGAGCAAAAGTATCTTAGGGACAGTGCCCAGGCCCAAAGTTGAAGGCCCAGGATTGGCAAAAAAAAAAAAGAATTTGACTGTGTCTTGATGTCTCCTGGGGGTCTCAATGTATATAAGGTTGTATACTCTTTATACTTTTTTGGCAGACAGCATTAACAACTGAACACAGGCAGACATAAGAATCCTATATTATTACTGAGTATTTTGTTTTCAAAAATATCATTTTATACATAGTATTTATGCCTTCAATAATTTCCAACAACATAAAATGGTTTCTGTCCTTAGAAGTTCATTATCTAAATTATTTTAGTCACTCATGAACCTAATTTTACTAATATTTTCAAAGGTCACAATCAATAAACTCATAATTCTAGGATAAAGTACAAATGGCAAATCGAAAGGTACATATCAAAATGACACAGATTCTATCTTCTCTCACAATGACTGTCATCAAGAAAACAAATAACAGATAATGTTTCAAGGAATATGAAGTTTTGGTGGAAGTGTAAATCAGTCTAACCACTATGGAAATCAGTATGGAGGTTCCTCAAAAAACTACGAGTAGCACTTCTATTCCATCCTGCTTTACCATTCCTGGGCATATTTCAAAATGGATGTTAAGTCAACATACAATAGAGATTCTTTCATGCTTATTGAAGAGCTACTTACAATAGTTAAGTATCAGTACCAGCCTAGCTACTCATCAAACAATGATTGGATAAAGAAAATATGGTGCATATACACAATGGACTATTATTAAGCCACAAAGAAACATGAAATTATGTCATTTTCAGAAAAATTGATAGCACTGGAAGACATTAAAAAGATGAATATCTCATGTTTCCTTTCAAATGAAAATTCTAGATATGGGGTGCATTTTGGTGTGTATGTAATAGAGAGAGACAGAGAAAAAGCAAATGTAAAAAGGGACAATTTGGCTAAACCAGCTGTAGAGAAGACAAAAGAAAGAGTGATGGGGACAGTAGATATGATCAAAATATATGAAAATAGTATAATAATCCCATTAAAAGTTGTATAAAGAAGAGGGGAAATAAGGAAAAGTTGTAGAAAAGAGGGAAAATGATGGGCTGGGAAGGTGGCTCAGTGGTAGAGTGCTTACCTTGCATGCATGAGGCCCTGGGTTTGATTCCTCTAGCACCACATAAGCAGAAAAAGCCAGAAGTGGCGCTGTGGCTCAACTAGCCTTGAGCTGAAGAACTGAGGGACAGAGCCCAGACCCAGAGTTCAGACCCCACAACCAGCAATAAAAAAGGAGGGAGGGCTGGGAAGGTGGCTCAGTGGTAGAGCGCTTTGCATGCATGAGGCCCTGGGTTCAATTCCTCAGCACCACATAAGCAAAAAGAAAAAAGCCGGAAGTGGCGCTGTGGCTCAAGTGGTAGAGCGCTAGCCTTGAGCTGAAGAGCTGAGGGACAGCACCCAAGCCCAGAGTTCAGGCCCCACGACCGGACCCAAAAAAAAAAAAAAAAAAAGGAGGGAAAATAAGGAGAGTAATACAAAGGATAAATGTGATCAAAGTACATTATATGCATATATTTCTAAACATACATATAATGTATGATGAGCAGCAGCATGGTGGACAGAAATATATGCTAATCAAAATATCAGAAAAAAGCATACAAATGTCTTAATTAGAAAATAGTAATACATAAAATATAAAGTCAGTGGTGGAAGAGGTGAATTTGTTCAAAATGCACTGTGTGAATTTATAGAAGCAGCACAACAAACCCCTCATATACAAACGTATATCAATTCCAAATTATAATAATAATTATTTAAAGAAAATAAATTTTCAAATGTGTTGCCACCATTACATTAAATATAAAAACTACAAGTGGAATCAATCAGAAATAGGTCAAGAATTGTCAAATAAACAATAACTTCAGGAAATGTGCCTGACTGTGTAAATGACTGAAATAAGTGGATATAATGACTATCACATAAAGAAGTTAGCTCTATTGACAAGTTTGTATAAAGCTGGTCTAAAGTCTGTTCCTCAGACTGTAGATGAAAGGGTTCAGCATAGGGGTAACTACAGGATAAATGACAGAAGCAGTTATGCCCTTGTCATGGGAGTTCCATGATGAAGAGTAAAGGTAATCCCCTACAAGTGTCCCATAGTATAAAGGCACAACAAAAAGATGGTAGCCACAGGAAGAAAATGTTTTCAAGAATTTCTCAGTGAGCCGGGTGCTGGTCGCTCACACTTGTAATCCTAGCTACTCAGAAGGCTGAGATCTGAGGATCATGGTTCAAAGCCAGCCCAGGCAGGAAAGTCTGTGAGACTCTTATCTACAATAAAACACTAGAAACCCAGAAGTGATGCTGTGGCTCAAGCGGTAGAGCACTCACTTTGAGCTGAAGAGCTGAGGGACAGCACCCAAGCCCAGAGTTCAAGCCCCATGACTGACCAAAGAAAAAAAAAAAGAATTTCTTATTGGAGAGAACCTTCAGGACAGTGGTACCTATATAGTATATAGGTATAAGATCCCAAGGGATATGGAAAAAAAAGTGATATGAGTGGATCTGATCAAGGTGCATCATATGCATATATGAACATGTACAACTAACTGATGCTAATAAAAAAGAAACAGCACTGGCTGCAAACTGTTATATCAACTACTCAAGAGGCTAAAATCTGGAGAATCACAGTTATAAGCCAGGCCAAGCAGAGAAGCCCATGAGACTCCATGTCCAATTGATCAGCAAAAAGCCAAACTAAAGGTTTGGCTCAAGAGATAGGACACCAGCCAAGCAAACAAGCTGAACAATTTGAAAATCCTGTTTTCAAATCTTGTAACTGGCCAAAAAAATGTAGAAAAATATGTAAGTAATCTCAACTTCATTACTTTAAAGCAACATCTACTTCTAGAATGTTGGAAATCACAGACAAAAAGATGGCGAAACTAGAAGACCAAATAATAAATTAGAACTGTAAATTATCATTAAATTTCATAATACTCATTTCTTTTCTGCCAGTCCTGGAGCTTGAACTCACAGCCTGGACACTGTCCCTGAGCTTCTTTTTGCTCAAGGCTAGTGCTATTCCACTTGAGCCACAGTGCCATTTCCAACCTTATCTGAATAGTTTATTAGAGATAAGAATCTCACAGACTCTTCTGCCTGGGGTTGGATTCAAACTGTAATCCTCAGATCTCAGCCTCCTGGGTAGTTAGGATTATAGGTGTAAGCCATCAGCAACTGAAAAATGCCTTTTGTTTAGATAAAACAATATCTCATTCTACAAACCTTGATAATAGCCCAAGTATAAGGTTCTAGATCTGAATTTTATTGTAAATAAGGACAACTGTTTTATCACAATTGAGAATTTTTATTTTTTCAATTAATATTAGCACCTACCATAAGAAGAGAAAACTTACACAAAATGCAATATTATTCTAGCTCTTTAGCCTTAGTCCAAGTACTTTTCTTCTTAAAAATGAAAGCATGCTCTAATATTTCTAATCTAATATCTCTAATCTTACTCATGATCATAATTTCTAGTCTAATATCCAATATCTAATTCTAATCTATTTTAATGCATTTCTAATCTAATACCTCTCCAGCAATAGGAGGTTTATCCTTTGGATATCATAACAAGATATTCAAATATCTTCAGACAGACAAAGCAGCATATCTATAAATATTGTTTTTATGCTTGACAAAAAAACTAAGGTAATGGCAAAACTAAGATTATAGAGATCATCCTGCAGTGTCTATGAACCTTCAAGTTTTGAGGTTCATGAGATCTGGGAAATGGGGAAAGAAGTCAGTTCAATCGAGAAATTAAGGAAAAGAGAAGGACTGTTGAAATTAAGGAAAGTCTGGAACATCCCAGTAATAAAATCAGGCACATCAAGTAACTATTGCTGCACAAAAGCCCAAAAGAAAAACATTTTTCATGATGATTCTATAGACTGGCAATTTGGCTGAGGGTTGGACTGAACTCATTTGTGTCTCCATAACCCCTTACTGGACACTGGCTAGAAGTTAACCAGAGTATCTTTGTACCCTTCTGTCTTTGGGCAGCCTATCCTAGACTTACTTCCATGATTATTGAATAGTTCTAAGTACAGTAAACATAGACCTTGCATAGGCTTAGAGCTCTTACAATATCAATTCCACCAAACCCATTGATCAAAACAAGTCACAATGGGAAGTTGAGAATGAATGGCTCATGGTTGGAGGCCAGCCCAGGTAGGGAAGTTAATGAGAATCTTTCTTAACCCATGGCTGAATGCAGTGGTGTACAACTACTGTCCTAAGCTACATGGGAGGCTGAGACAGAGAGGATGGCTCTAGAACAGTCTGATCTTCAGAAAAGTCTGTAGGACTCCATCTCAGTGAGGAGAAGCTTGATAGAGTAGCATGTGACTGTCATCCCTGTAATGATGAGAAGTCTAAACTTGGCAAATTGTGTTCTCGTGCACACCTGGGCAGGCAGTAAGACCTTATCTCAAAACAAAATAAACAAAAAATACTGGGCAAAAAAAGCACTGGAAACATTATTTATCAGTGATAAAGCACCTGCCTAGCAAGTGTGAAAATATGAGTACTGGGTGTGCGAGGGGGTAGGGGAAATATCTGTCCAGATTCAAGGGAAAGAACAGTAAATTCCACTATGGAAATGAAAGAATGCCAAATATGTGATCATTTTTGCAATCTTCTCTGGCCACCTGCATACTTTTCAAGCAAATATCTCTGGGAGCATTACTAGGAAAATTGTCACCGTAAGTAAAACACTCTCACTCCGCAAATATCACCACTTTTCTACATAGTACCTGCAGAGCCAGCTGCATGTCTCTGTTCCTCAGACTATAAATAAAAGGGTTCAACATGGGGGTCACTACCACATACATCACTGAAGCAACTGCATCCTTCACTGTGGAATTGCCTGAGGAAGGAAAGAAATAAATGATGGCAAGAGTCCCATAGTACAGAAACACTAAGAAGAGGTGGGAACCACAAGTGGAGAGAACCTTGCCAATCTTCTTCATGGAGGGGACCTTTAGGACGGTTGCCCCAATACATACGTAAGATCCCAGAATGGCACTCAGTGGCAGGAGTGTTAACACGCCCCCCTCAGTGAAGATAACTAGCTCATTGAGAGAAGTATCTGAACAGGTCAGCCTCAGGAGCTCATTGAGATCACAGAAGAAATGAGGGATGGTGTGGTCAGCACAGAAAGACAAACAAGACAGAAGGAGGGTGTGCAGGAGGGCATGCACACCAGAGAAGAACCAGGAACAAGCCACCAATATGACACACAGCTCCCCCCTCATAATGATGGTATAGTGGAGTGGGTGGCAAATGGCTACGTACCTGTCATAGGCCATTACTGCAAGCAGGAAATTGTCAACACATACAAAAAGTAAGAAAAAATACATCTGAGAAATGCACCCTTCATAGGAGATGGCTAAACGCTGAATGTGCATATTTCTGAGCATCTTTGGAACGGTGACAGATGATAAGGAAACATCAGAAAATGCCAAGTGGCTGAGGAAGAAGTACATAGGGGTGTGGAGGCGGTGGTCCAGACTGATAAGCAGGATGATGAGCAGGTTCCCCAACACAGTGGTCAGGTACATGGCCAGGAACAAGAAGAAGAAAAAGCCCTGTTGCTCTGGCTGGATGGGGAGTCCCAGAAGGAGAAACTCTGACGCACTGCTTCCATTCTCTCTCCTCATGTTCCCCTTCTTACTGCTGGAGGTGGTAGGAAATCAAAGAGACTGATAAGTTGTAATCATCCCCAGCAGATCCACATCATACGTACATGCATTTCTCTGGAGGACGGCGTATTTTTTTCTATCTGACTCATTTGAAATCTGTTCTCACTTGAGATGCCAAAAGCCCAATATTTCCAGTTTAAACAAGATTTCCTTCACTGGAGTCTGTAAATTTATTCACTTGTCCGACCATGTCGCAGACACTTTTTGGACACTGGTAATACAGCAGACAATAAAGTTCCCAAGTCTTTTCCCTTTTGGGCCCACATTCTACAAGCACCTGATAAAGAACTGAGCAAGAGCTGTGATTTACCAAAAGCTTGACCTGGATGCTACCTCCATAGTTACTACCCAACCAGCCTTGGCAAACTTCCTTTATGCATGCCTAAGTTCCCTCTTCTGCAAAGGGATGAATATTATTAGCCAGTTATGGAAATATTGAGCATTCCTTGAATATTATTAAGCATTCCAGTAAGTTATTTCAGGTACCAGGTGTGAACACAGAGGTATGAAGCCACCTGCTGAAATAGTGGCTCCTGACCTTCCACATCAAAATTCTAAGTGTCTTTGCGATACTTCCACTGACAGTTAAATCAGTCTTAGTGATCACATACGGCAGCCCTGCGAAAGAAATCCAGGAAGACATTATCAGTCTAAGGCACAGGTTCCTGGTAGAAGAATCTCTTCAAAGAACAGAGAAGCTCAGGCAAGCAGGTCATCTTGATCAAAGGGGAAGAAAAGGAGGTAGAGTATGACTTAAATAGTGTTTCCTGATTCAAACTTCTTATAACTCAAACACCTCTGGAAGAAGCTATATAACAAATAAATCCTCATACTGAATAGCTGGATAAATAAAAAGATGACCTTGATTCAAGCCACTGTCTAAGAGAGAAATACAATTAGACACCCACTTAAGAATTAAAAAGGGCCAAGCACCAGTAGCACACGCCTGTAATCCTACTTAGGAAGCAGGGATCATGGAGGAGCATAGCTCCAGGCCAGCCTGGACAAAAAGTGTGTGAAACACTTTAACAACCCATAGGTGGGGACGGCGGCACATGCCTGTCATCCTAAATTATGGGGGAGGCCCAGATTAGCAGCATCAAGGTTCAGCCCAGGCAGAAAAGCCTGTGAGTCTCCATCTCAGTGAAAGGAAGCTGACATGTGTCTTTCATTCTAGAAATGACAGGAAGCTTAAAATAGGCAGACTAAGATCAAGGAACACATGTAGGCAGGAAGCAAGGCCTTATCTTAAAAAAAAAGTGAAGGTGAAATGAACCCCAAGATAAGGACTCAAATGTTTTTTCTTTCTTGCAATTGTTTCTAACATATTTATATGATGCTTTCTTTGTTGCTCTGTATGCCCCCCCATGGTATAACCCCTGCTTTCACTGTGTTTGATGTTGGTATAATATGTGGAGGGGAAGGGAAAAAACAAATCATTTAAATAGGGATAGGTGGACCCATTGCAACAATGAGATGTACAAGAAATGTCAAAAAACAAACTTTATAACTTTGGCGGGGTTGGGGGGGGGGGAATGGGAAGGGATGGGAAGGGGAAACAAAGGAGGAGGCAACAATGCTTAATAAGAAATGTACTCAACAAGTTGTCATGTCCAAAACTAGCTTTACAACGCCGGTGCGGGGGCGGGGGGGGGGGAAGGGGGAGGAAGGAGAAGGATTGGGATTGGTGGGGGAGGGGGGAGGCTGGGAAGGGATGTGAAAGGTAAACAAAGGAGGAGGCTGCAATGCTTGGTAAGAAATGTATGCATTATCCTGCCCATGTAATTGTAACCCCTCTGTATAGTATGTTCACAAATAAAATTAAATTAAATTTAAAAAAAAAGAAATGTACTCACTACCTTGACCATGTAATTGTAACCCCTCTGTATAGTATGTTCACAAATAAAATTAAATTAAATTTAAAAAAAAAGAAATGTACTCACTACCTTGACCATGTAATTGTAACCCCTCTGTACGGTATTTTCACAATAAAAAAAAAATAGTGAAAGATAAAGCTAGAATTCAGGCTCAGCAGAAGAATACCTGTCTGGCAAGTACAAAGCCCTAAGTACCACTATAAAATAAAAATAAAACAAATAAAAGAATGAAGAGAAGCTAGGCAGTAAGTTTGGCAAAAGCTCTTTGAATAAGCCTGTTCTTCTTTCCTGCCTAAATATGATTCCTCAGGCATCCAAGAACTGACAAAGAAACCGAAAATCTCAAGTTCACATTTACTGGATGTTTGTAATACATCCCATATTGGTTAAATCCTGATTCTCAACCCATGTTACACTTTAGGCTACTAAACTTCACAGACTGCAAACCCAAGGTCATAAATCTATGAAGAGTTAAGAGACTTGGGTTGAGACATAGGTAGCACCAGAGCCTCATCTCTCTTCCTAAGAGTAGAAACATGGTGTTGTTGAAAGCCAGTGATGAAAAGTACCCACACAGCATTTGGGAGGTTCAAGTTTCATGAGCATATAACTTCCAGCTGAGATATGGAGGATCCTGCTGGGAACTGCCTGTTGTGTCTCAACTAAGACACAAGTAGAGATTATGACTATGGATCTGTTAATTCAATACACAGACACACACACATATACCACATTGCCATAACTTCCATTGCCCCTCTCCTACACTCATGCTAGATTAAGTCTAATGTGACTGTGTTATATACAAACAGGTATGTGTAGTCACACATACATGCACACAACTCAAGATCAATCTTTGGCCTATAAACCTCCCTCTATAAACCTATAAGGAAAAGAAGGGGTTGTGTCACTTTCATAGCTACACACAATTGATAAATAAAACACTCATATACATGGCTGGGAAGGTGGCTCAATGGTAGAGTGCTTGCCTTGCATGCATGAGGCCCTGGGTTCGATTCCTCAGCACCACATAAGCAGAAGAAAAAAAAAGCCGGAAGTGGCACTGTGGCTCAAGTGGTAGAGCACTAGCCTTGAGCTGAAGAGCTGAGGGACAGCGCCCAGGCCCAGAGTTCAGGCCCCACGACCGGACCCAAAAAATATATATAAAAAAAACACTCATATACATTACAGCGTATGAACAGTAAACACAGTCACCCACACACAAAATAAAAGCACACTGCATTACACACGCAGCCACATAGTCAAATACAAAATGGCACATACACATTCACATACCCACACTCAACCTAGAAGAGATAGTCTTCAGCCATCTATAATCTATGCATGCCATCCTAATATGAAGACAGTAGATAAATAACTCAGTCCATTATCTGCTCAGCACACCATATAAAAGAAACAACATATAATATTCCCATATACATACATATTCTTACATAGACATGCACACGGATAGTACAGGTGCTGAGTCCCCTCTTTCTCTGACCTGTGACAATTCTTGGTAAATCAGATCCCTTCTGATCAAGACTGTTTCCTGAGCCCTCACTTTCTGTTCATGAAAACCAGTATCCAAAGAACAAGACATTCCCCAGCCCCGAGGATTTTTTTTTTGAATGTTGCATGTCAGTCTTTAAGCAGCAGAGAAAAATGGGCAAGAAGGTCAGCATCCACCAACAGGATGAATTCCCAAAGGAAAATAACCCCAAGCTTCTAGTTTACAGGAGCCAGGATGGGCTAATTGCCTGATTTCCTGCCCTCCCTTGGGGAAGGGAGTTGTGAAGGGACTAGGGGGCAGAGCTACCAGAGATGCAAAAGTGAGGAGTGCTTGACCTTGATGTTGAGGTCACGAAAAGCATCACTGGCCATAGTCACCTGGTCTTCTGAAGTCAGGACAGCTTGGGATTGACCCCTCCAAATCGCCCAACGGCCCAGAGTGAGGCCTGGCCCTGTAGACTCCCACACCGCTGATCTGACCACATAGACCATCTCCATCTGAGAGTTTTCAAGTCTCCCCATTCTTCTGAGATATTCTGCTGGGGCTTATTCAGGATCTGGCAGATGGGTAAAACTGAACCCAAAGTCCTTAAACACAGACTGACTTGAGGTCTGCTGTGCTCTTGATCGAGTGCCCTAAATGAGGGCTGAAGGTCTGTGAGGTTCTGTCACCTCTGCTGCATTGTGGGTAATAGTGCCTTGCTCATGAAGTTGTTGTGGGAATTAAAGGGAATTTGTTTTAACCGCTAAATTTGGACAGTTAGAACAAACAATGCACACTATGAGGAGACTGTCAACATAACCAACTTATCAAATGAAGCATTCAACTTAATTATTTTTCTTTGCTTTTCTTTCTGCTTTTTTGTTCGTTGTGGGGCTTGAACTCAGAGCCTGGGTGCTGTCCCTGAGCTTTTTGCTCAAGGCTAGTGCTCTACTACTTTGAGCCATAGAGTCACTTCTGGTTTTTATGATTTTGGTAGTGTGGTTCTTTTTTTGAGTGGTTAATTCCTGTTCAGGATAGCTTTGAACATCCAATCTCAGATCTCAGCCTCCTGAGTATTATAGGCATGATCCACTGGTGCCCAGTTCTTAATTACTTTTCTAAGTTCTATTACCATGTAGCACATCAACCCAACACTTAATAGCATTGAACAATCCAGCATAGTGCTATACCAAGAAGATTCTCTTTCACCTACTTTCCCTAGTGGGGAGAAGAGGGCCTGAGATAGATAGGCTGTTTCCTCAACCCTCACAAGCACATCTCACAGAATCCACTTCTGTTTTGCCACACAGATAATACAAGGGAAATCTTTAGGGCTTAATGACCTGAGGATATCTAAGAACAAAGAAGGGGAACAGGAGTTCCCAGTGGTCAAAGCTTGGTTCTAGACAGTAGCCCTGTGTTCCTTCCAGCAATAATACCTGACCACAGAAGGGTCAAGAGCATTGCCCAGTGTCAAACTGTGCTGGTCGCTTTGCATAGCACAGGTGCAATGCTGCTTGGGTGGAGTTCCTAAACAGTTGCTCCACTCAGCCTGAGGCTTCTCCAAAGACCACACATACCTTCAGGGC